GTAGTTAAAGATGAGAATTCAGCATTCAAGAATTTATAACCATGCTTTCTGCATTTCTTTATCCATTTTGAAGCTTCTATTTAACATGACTCATCCCCAAAAAGCTACAATTAGTAGACTGCCTTTTTCTCCCCAAATTACTAATTTACTTTTATTGAAATATTGTTGGTGTATAATATTATATAAGTTACAGGTGTACAATACACCGATTCACAGTTTTCAAAAGTTATCCTCCATTTATAGTTATTACTGTAAAATACTGACTGTTTTCCTGTGTTACACAATCTATCCTTATAGCTTATTTTATACACGGTAGTTTGCACCTCTTAATCCCCGACCCCATGTTGCTCTCTTTGAGAGTGCCTTTTTAAGTTAAGTGAGGCTTATTTACTATATACTGAATACACGGTTTTGCTTGCTACTTCAATCTTTAATACATATCTCGATTAATATAATGCCTTAAACATGATTGTCTCTCCACTTTGCAAATAATACAATGTGTCTATATCCATGACTATTGTGTAATATTTGATAGTGTCGGGATTAACATCTTATTTTCTTAGTGATACGTTAACAATAGGGAGATTGGGTGGAGGGAATGTGGCAAATTCTTGTACTACCTTTGCAACACTTTTCCAAGTATGAAACTATTATAAAATAAGCAATTTATTAAACAATAAAACTGTGTGCACATACTTATATTTTCAAACTCAGAGCCACTATAGACTATATACCAACTCTAAAAAAAATAATAAAATAAAACAAATTTAGAACTAGCCATTAACAAAAGACATTGACTCCTGGGACCCCCTAAAAAACAAGGATTCAGCCATGCTATTTTAAATTGGCTGTTGTTCTTAAGTAGCTGTGTTTCCATTCTTAATCCCTCAATCCATCACTCACAGTTCCCTTTCCAGAATGCCAGCTGGGAACAAGCTAAACTCCTTTCCAGCTCTGAGAAAGGAATCTCATAGAGTCCTTATCACACACAGAGCTATTCAAAACTTGATCCCACTTCTCCTTCCAGTCTTGTCTTCCACCCTCTGCCACTGTCACTCCATCTCCAGTTTAACAATTAATTTTCAGTTCTCTAAATCTACCGTGCCATAATGCCTTGATACGTTATTAAGCATGGAGTTATCTCCGCCTGGAATGTTATTTCCGATTTACCTCTGATTGTTATATCCTTCAAGATTCAATGTATTTCTCGCTGACTTTCCTCGGTCACTTTTTTTTCCAGGTCCCATAAAGCCTTGCATATCTCTACTATAGATATTTACATTATATGCATTGCTGCCTTTCATACCAGCCTGTAAATTTTAAAAGAAATGAATGTACTTCTACTTTTTTCACTGTTATATACTTAGCATGTATAAATGTTCACACAAGTGCTCACATAACATGAATGAATGAAATACAAATGTTTAATATTGTCAAAATAAATGTGTCAAAGAAAACATTTTTCAGAGTAACTAGAGTAAAGCCAATGTGTGAAATAATTTAAATCTGTTACTCATTTAAATGTTTGTGATTTAATAGATCCTCAAAAAATTAGAGCATGGGGTGAGTCACTTATTTGTCTTTTGGAATAGAATATATTTTAGCATATTTGTATAATTATATGAAACTATTAAATGGGAAATAGTAAGCTATCTACATTTCTACAAGCTGAATATTTCTCTTAAAAGCATAATACAAAAGATAAATGCACTTAGTTTCATGACTGGGTTGAGTAATTTTTTTTAGCTCTTTAGTAGGTCTCAAACATTAAAATTTTGTTTTCTAGGTTGGTATTATTAATATTATAAAAATTAGTAAAATGGT